AATTTGGATATTTTGGGATATGCAAGTTACATTTTATATCATGTAATCAATATTAGTTGAGTAATATATATTAACAAAAGGCTATATATGTTTTTTGATGTGAAGTATGTGATTAAGCTTTAATAATTTATTACCTCAATTGAAGCTATTGCCTGTAATGGATTTGTGTTACTTCATGTTGTAATTATTTGTTGTTATCTTATGTGGAGCTAAATATATATAAGTGATGGTAGAATATTTTAGCAAGTGGATTGAATTTGTAGCTTTATGTTAAAACTCTTTGGAATTGGTATCTATGGCCTTTCTTGATTGAATATTAGTACATTTTGGAGCACTTGATGAAGTGTTAATATGTCAAGGAAGAGAGTTTCTTAAAAGTTTCGAGGTTTTATATACTAAAGCCTTGATAGATTATTGTATCATATCTAAAAATCATTATGAAGCAATTGGCCTAACTTAGCAGGTTGTTCAGACTATAAAATATAAATTACGAAAGTAGGAATTACTTCATGGAAACTATTGTGATTAAGAATTGATGTTATTGTAGTTTGCAATGGATTATTGCTTTAGTAAATAAGCATCTTTACTATCTTATAGTCTTTATCAATTGTTGTATGGATGAGAGCCAATTCTATCCAACTCAATATATGAAAAGCTAACTCCAATTGTAGACCTAAATAATTTTGATGTGTCAGCTCAATGTCTACATGATTGAATAGATATAAGCCAAATTTTTTTACTCTTAATTAGTTAGAAAAATTATTAGAATAAATAAATGGAATTAAAAAAAAAAAAAAAAAAAAAAAAAAAAATGGATGTAGTTAAATAGGATAAATTATCAAAGAAAAGACTCATTTAGGTATTAAGAACAAAGTGCAATTATAATATTAGATGAAATAATTATGATTTAAAATTAAATTAAGTAAGAATAATGGTATCAAGTTGATAAAGCAATGAAGCGAAATATAAAAAATAGAAAATATTTTATTTGAGCCTTTAAAACTAAAAAAATATATTAAAAATAGTAAAAAATTAGACATATTATTTTTAAGCGAGAATAGAATAGAAAAGACATCTAAAAGGGCCCCTAACAATCTCTTATAAGAGTGTATTAGGAATTTTAAAAAAATAAAATAAAACAAAATAAAACAAAATTAAATAAAAAATTAAATAAAAATAAATAAATAAATCCATAGATTGGCAACCTACGTTGTCAGACTTGTGTGGACTACATAGGTTTTGGTCTAGATGGTTACTGACCAAGCAGGTTATATTAACCGTGATAGGCAAACAAGGTTGGGAATACCAAAATTTGAATACGATAGAATTAATAAGGATGGTAAGGCGAGACAACACAGATCTATGGTTGTTAGAAAATAATTTATATTTAAAAAATATAAAAGAATTATTTTATATTTAATAGATCTTCATTTGATCACATGTTATATTATTGTAAGATAGTAGTTGATTTTTAATGGTTGTTAGAAAATAAGTTTGGAAGAGTTCTTGTGCATATTTTCTAATATGATAATAGGTAATTGTGATATTGTGATCAACGTTTTAGTATGATTGCTTCTTTCTTGAAGAATTTGATGTATATGAAAACATTCATAAGTTAATTGCTGGATAGTTAAAATAATTAATTAATTGATTAAAATAATAAATATAATAAATAATTTAATTAATTTAATTAATTTAATTTAATTTTTAAAAAATTAAAAAAAATTAAAATTAAAAAATAAATAAATTTTAAAATAAAATCATATGTAAACAAAAGTTAAAAAAGAAAAGACATCTAATCTTATATAAGTGAAGTTATTCCACCAAACTACCAAATGTAATTAAGGTGGATTGATTTTATTGATAGTAGAGTTCTTTAAATAAGCCATGCGTATGGCTATAGAAAACTTATTTATTGCTGCACATCATGACACTTTGTGATATGCTTATATCCATAGTAGAGCTTATCAATCCTAGTTGCAAAGATTATGTATACTTGCAACAAGAGGTGCCAACAATACTTAATGTTAAGGTAAGGTGCACAATTCTATATGTAAAGAATGTGCTTTCCAATAATATTTTGTTGTTAAAAGCAAGGATTGACAAGAGTATTGGGAGCATTCAAAGAATTGTGCTCCTTGTCATCTTCCTATTGATGATTCTATATATTTTGAATTGGCAGTTGTACTAGTTGGCCTTCTTTGTTTTTTCATGGAGTAAGAAGAAAGAGACTTCTACTATGCTTTTATGTGAACAACAGCAATGTAGGTGGCATATGGCATATTTAATACCACTTCTTTTGGCTCTTCCATTAGAAGATTAAATTTGTCCTTGTTGTAAGAAATCTTCAAGTCATGCCTCATCTCTTCATAAGTATTGAATATTTCTTCTATTGTATATGTCACACACTTTGGTAGTCTAACTATTATAATACTAAGTTTGAAGGAGTATAGTTTGGCATTTTTTTATGGTGGCATTTATCTTGAATGATGTGTTTTTGTAGTCCTAATTGAATGGAAGGGCTCCTAATCAACTAAAGAGGAGACTTGAGAGTATATTGGGTATGAATTTTATTTAGTTTAAATTACATACTTTATAATTGATTAATAGTAGTCAATGTGTTTTACATAAAAATCTTTGTTTATACAATAGTTATCACATAGAATGGCATTGAGTGCCAAATTTTGTTGGATATATGTACTTTAGTTTTGTTAATGGTTTTTAATCTATTAGTAGTTTTTCTATTAGTTGACTTATTTATGCCAATTAGAATTTGAATACTTAAGTAGAAAAAAATCCTTCACTTGACATTCTTATCAAGTCAAGTCTTATGAGTGATTTTGAGAATGAGAGAACTTGTTATAAGGGTTTGCTTGGCTATGGTGTTTTAGCTATTTCAGTATAGCTTTAGGATTTTTCTTATTTTTATACTTACTTTCTTAGATTCTCCTTTTGTTGTATAAAAGATAGCTTGACTTAGTTTGATGTAGATTTCTAATCTTTTCTTGAAAGTATATTGGGCATGCATTTGTATTTGGTTTAAATTACATGCTTAATGATTGGTTGGTAGCACTCAATGTATTGTATGTAACGATCTTTGTTTACATGAAAATATTAATATTGATTAAGATTTAGAAATTGGAATGCTTATTTGCATCATTATTACTACATTTGTTAATATACAAAATGGTTATGTGAATTTGAAACTTATTCAAATTTTGGCTAAAAAAGAAAAATTTTAAAAATGATGATTCCCTATATTATACAACTTCATTTTTTTGGATATTTATAATAACTTTGGATCCATGTTAAAATTAAAAATAAAAAATATATATAATTTTAATAGACTACTTATTTTATATATTACAATATCCCAACCACTTATGATTGAGTTAGTTAGTTAGTTTTTCTTTTTTCTTTTTTCTTTTTTGCACAGGTTGATACATTCAGACCACTGTAGAACATAGCTTCAAGGCACAAATACTTGGAGATTGCCATGAAATTAAGTTAAGACAATAAGATTCTATTAAAGAATTTGTGCATGAAAACAAATGTGTAATATGATTTTATCATTCTTCTAAAAGCTTGTCACAGGTATTAACAAGGCTATTGTATTGTATAAATTTGAAACGGATTCTCAGTGATAATATCTTTGTGACAATTTAAAGATAAAATTATAAATAATAATTGATTGAAATAACAATTTAGGTAGTGAATAACTGATAGCAATCTTACATGTTGTACAATGTACAAACAAAATTGTGGATAAGGGTTGGTCATAACCATGTTTGCAGTTTGTTTTTATTTTTGCTTGTTTGTTTTTATATTTATTTATTTCAACCTAGTAATTTGAACTTAATTAGTAAATTCAATTAGTTCATTTTAACACAAATAACACTTAATGGATGAGATGTAGGAATTAAAAAAATGATTGATCAAATTGGTCATTATTATATCTACAAATTAAATACCATAATTTCTTACACAGTGTAAATTAAAATAGAAAACTAAATGAAGTGACAGTGCAGCCAAAAGGCAAGCATGTGGTTTTGAATGTCAAATTCCTACACAATTCATGGGCTCCAACCCACTTCATAGCAGCATTATTGAAAGCACCTGATAGCATTTGAATACAAAAACAAGCCAAAAATTGTTTTGTTGTCAAATTTAAATCTGGAAATTTTAAAAATATATATTGTTGTCATTTCATAAATTTTTCATGTTACACATGTTGCAAACACTCTTAAGAATGTTAATATCTGTATCCTTTAGTACCACCCATTATTTTTGTAGGGTATCCATATTTTGGACTAAAATTCTAGGATCATCTTTTGTGCCCTGGAAGGCAGATTAGTAACATACTTGATGTCCAGACCAGTAAAAAGTATCTAAATGTCACCAAAAAGTACTCCAGTTGAAAACACTCATCTGCTGCTTAACAGATGGCTGACAACAGGAGCAGCATCCTATCTGCCAGAATTCTAGCTCCCATCTGTCACAGTGTGCAATTGGAAGACATCTATTCTTCTGTTGCTTAGTTTCTATTGCCACTTCAAAAACAGCAGTATGACACACACTAACAACGTTTTGTCTTGTAGGCCAAAGCCTCCCACATCACTTTTAGAGGAGAATTTAGTTGCCTGTTAGAGGAATACCTTGCAATGGTCAGTAACTGGATACATAGAGTGGACATTTCAACAATGTGAAGTGACAGCTCCATTCTACTAGACATGCAACATGGCAAGAAGGCTGAAAAACTTGGGCTAAATACCAGCAGGGTCTAGGCTGTATTTACATTGTAGCACTGAATCTTCAGTATTGAAAGCTTGGAAGTATCATCCAGCAACTGGATCCAAATGAATCTCACATGGGAGTGCAAGCACAGCACTAAAACAAATTTCTAAAAGTACCCTAAAGTATGTCCCAATATCTGAAATGGAAACCATGTGCCATCCAGATGGTGTCAATTCAGCACACTAATGGAAATGAGCCCTTCTATGTGAGATGTTGGAAACAGTAGTCTCTGGTATCATTCATGTATGTGCTTTACACTCAAACCAACAAGTGGATGGAAAGAATGGTACTCTACTCTAATAAACTAAGAAACTATATTTAATCATCAAATAGTTTGCAGGACCGCTTGAATTGTGTATGTACCTTACATTTAGGTGCCCTTGATTCTTGTAATGGAACTCTAGAAAGTTCAATACAACAAATTTGACAAAATAATCTATATCTGCATTGAAATAAATGAGTGAAACAATCAATGATGCAGAGATTTCTGATTCCTAAACCAGACCTACAAGTTAAATGGAAGAAAGAGTACATTCTATGAAAAGCAAAATCTACAAGATACTAGGTAGATTGTAAAGTCAACAGCTCCTTGGAAAGATATTACATTGCACCTATCTTCATCATGTGAAGATGGTGACAACATCACGACGGTATCCTCGGACCATAAGCAATCTCGGTATGCCTTCAACAAGGCAATCCATGTACTCCATATAGCAAAAGCTTGGCTGGTGAGGAGGGGGGGGAGGAAGACTGACTAATACAACGGCAGCAAGTGCTGAGTATCGCTTGATTATTGAATTCAACTTTAGGGAGATGTACAAGAACTTCTCGACCTGACACACAAGCAAAACACTCAGCACCTACTTGTTAACAAAGCGACTGGTTTTTCAAAATGGACACTTGTCATGCATAAATGGAACCAAACAAAAGGAATTCAGGTAAAGTGTGTTCGATAAGGGCGGAAATATGGGAAGAATACTGACCTGTTGCTCATCCAACACTCGCTGTTCCGTTTCAGCCTGCATGATAATGCCTTTTTTGCTCTTCTCCACCATCTTAGCATCACGCTGGACTATCCTTCTCCGAGACTTGGAAAAGGCTTCTACTGCATACACCCTCCCTTTCTCTCCGCTAGATTCATCTTCTGCTTGACGAGCCTTCCAAGCTTTCATACTAACCACAATAACTTCAGCCTCCATCCGCAAGTCGTACAAAAATTTCTTCACGTCTGTTTTCAACTCATCAGCCTCGCTATCTTCCTCTGCTATACAGAAAACCTGCATACCATGGAAACTATTAGGTTCAGAATTCTATGAGCTTTAATGAAATAGCAGGATCACATACCAAGTTGCATCAATGGCATACCCGAATCCTGCAGCTATCGAAGCAATCTCTTGCGCGGAGCAATTGTGACAAAAGTAACATAAGTCCACCATCGCAAACGATCCAATAAAGGTCGATTGTTCCATATTGTTTTTGGTACTCGCCAGGCCACATATCCAAACCCTTCACAATTACAACTGCTTTATTGGAAGTAGAGCAATCGTTGATAACGGTAACAAAATTATCAGGAATACTGCTGTGCTTCTCTTCTCTCCATACTTCAGGGTACCTCATGCAGACAATATTGGGCTTCAGATTAGCAAGCCCCATAGTTTGCAGTATTAATCGAAATCCATCAACCATAGTATTGGCCACAATAACCTCTGCAACTCCTTCACATTTCTTGTAGTCGATGTATGTGCTCAGAAATTTACAAGCCTTTTTGAAGAGATCAAAAAATATTCAGAAAAGCAAGTCAGAAGTTCGTATGGAAAATAAAGTTTGAATTGTGAATAAATACTGTTCAAAAAGAAACTATATTTCAGGACGCTAAATTAGTTCAACATATTAGTAGCCTTGGGAAACGTAGGTACACACCTGCCTGCTTTCTTCTGTTTTGTCCTTGTAATCACCCTCAACAATTGAAGCAAAAATGGACATGCCACGTCCTTTCTTCTTCATACAATTGGCAAACTCCGCCAGTTTAGGATGACATGGTACATCATCTGGCAGAATGCCCCAGGGCTTACAAAAGATGAGAGGAATCGGATACCAATTCTTGGGATGCACAGGCGTGGCTGCATCATTATCAGAAATAATACCTTTGTCAAGTTTGTGACTAAAGCTAGAGTAAACATGAGAAAGGATCTTGATTGTACGACATCCACAGATCAGAATCAGTGAAAATTCACAACTGGAATATAGAAGCGCTCAAAAGAAGGCCTAAAGAAAACACCGACCTCCTAGGGATCGCAGGCTTCGCAAAGCAAGTTGGAAATAAGCACTTTTAAAACCGTCTCCCCAGTCACCGCCTTTACCCCTGATACTAACATACCAATAGATCAGACTGGCGAGTGCCAGTGATACTACTGTAAAAGACCATGATATAAAGAACATAATGCCTGCAAAGGGCAATGCATGAGTGAAATGAGAAACATTAAGGAAACGATCAATCTGACCAACTGATTGTAAGCCAAGATCTAGACAACATGAAGATTGCCTCAGAATTGAAACATTCTCGTGTCAGGTCTAACGCTAAATTAAATACAAATTATAGCTCATTCAAACCGTACGCAAATGAAGTGTTCACATTATGAGCAAGTTAGAGGACTTACAGATGCAAAGGAGAGCACCTAGAAGGGAGAAACTCCAGTGATGAAATTTAAACCGAGGTCGCCAGCTAGGAGCGTCAAGAAGGTCAAGTAGGAGACAGGACAAGTTTACACCGCCGTAACAAAGAAGGAAGAACATGGTAATAATGGGAGTGATTAGATCCAGGTTGCCCAGGATCACACAGCCAGCACAAATCAGCATGGTGAAGAGTGTTGCAAGGTGAGGCTCCTCATCATCATGTACTTTGAAGTACTTGAGAACAGGAAGAATATCGTCATTGGCAATTGCAGCAAGAAGACGAGGAGCACCTGTCAAACTCTGCAGGGCTGCTCCGAGAGTGGAGAGAATGACTCCGACTTGAACGATCCACGGTACAGGCCAAGCAATGGTTGCTGTCAACAACCTAGACACAGAGGTATTGAATTAGAGTTCAGAATGTGGCCTGCCTTCATGACAGACTTCTGTGAACGCTACAAAGTTGATTCAGAATGCATCGAATACTTCTAGAGAGAATTATTTAAAACATAGGCTAGAAATGAAGATCATATTTAGAATACTGATTATCTTCTCCATTAATTTAAAAAAATAAAAATAAACAGATTCACCTATCAGTCAATAGCACATCCCGAGTGGCAACTGCTCCAAACATCAAAACAGAGATCAAGTAGAGAGCCGTCGTAACACCAATGGCAGATAAAGTTCCCTTGGGAATGGAACGCTGAGTATCCTTCAGAGAAGCTGAACGGTTTGACCCTGCCATAATCCCAGTGACAGCAGGAAAAAATAGGCCAAGTAGGTTTCTGTAATCATACAAGTCACATCAGAAGTAAGCATCCCTCACAAAATCTAAGCTAGAGAATCATATTCTATTTTGTAGGTGCAATTTGAAAGTGTTGATTAACTTGACCTAAATGTAAAAGTGGTGACATACTCAAAATTCCAGTAGACCCCAGTCGGAGCTGGTATCCCAGCATCATTTGTGGTTTGATAACTAGATTCCCAATTGCCTTTGAACGTATCAAAGCTCAGGCCCGTTATTCCCGCTGCAATTGATCAAACAGTACAAATAGAACATTGGTGTACACGTTATGGAGTTCATGGAGTAGATCCAAAACGTATAATGTGCTATAATATTATCACTTTCATTTTTGAATGTGAAAGAAAATTGAGGAAAAGAGTTGTGATGGTGACGGCATACTGCAACATCCTAAAACCAAAACTTAAAAGAACAAACAAAAAAGAGGCAGCGACAATGATAAGAGGTCTCACATGTATCGCTGTCTCCACGTGCTGTGAAGACACCAATGAAAATGAAGCATATCGACAGAAGCACAGGAATCAGAAATGCCGGGCTGACCTTGTTGATAATTTTGACTCCTCCGAAAACAATCAAGCAGAGCACAACTGTAAGGACAATACCATACACCTGAAGGTCATGTATACTTGGGCTCTTCATTACTTCAGACACTCCTGATGGTGAAGGTGCTAAGTTCAAGGAAGTCACTGTGCCTGCATACATTGCAACGGCACAATAGAATGTAAGTATGTAACATAATTATTACTGAAGTGAAATTCCAGAGATGCCCCGTGCACAAGTGCACGCCATAAAACTATGCCCCATAGTTATATCCTATATACGTCAGAAGGAACAAGGAAAGGTGCAAGCAAATAGCATGCACTTCAAGATGAACTTATAGCAAGCTTAGTTCAATAAACCAAAAACTATAGCGTGTAAAAGCAAAAGATGATACCTAAAGTGAAATAAGCATGAAGTAGATAACTCACTTTTAAAAAGACCTGCCTCAGGAATTGCATCCAGAAATGTTTCCACAGCTCCTAAAATGTACCTGCATTTATTGTATGCTTCTGTAGATTACTATGCTGTAAACAAACACCTCTTTCAAATAATAAATTTATATATCAGGAACTCAAATTAATAATTTGTAAATACGTAAATTTCATAAATCATACATGTAACATAAAAATCCGCAAACAGAATTCTATGTGTGTCAATCTGATTATCCCTACCGTAATAAAAGTTTAGAGAAAGAAAGCACTAAATACTGCTCTCATATTTGCAAACAAGTACATGACATGTGGGTATTCCTCGGAGAGTTTCAACACAAAACCCCCAGAAAATGGAGGATCGAAAGAAAAGTAGTATTCAGGTGGGAAATGTGAACTCACAATGATGCAGCAACTGCATTGCCCAGGAAGAAACACAATCCAATACTTACTCCAACCTCTGGACCAAGAGCCCGACCTATCAGGTAATAGGGACCCCCACCCTGTAATAGAATGATAAAACGTTGGAATCTTATGGAAGACAAACTGCTTCAAATATAAAGTCCTTAAATGATTTACATGCATATGTCCTTGAGACAAGAGTATTGCAAATACATGATTGATTGAATTTCGACACATGAAATTCCTTTACTCAAGATACTAACCTTCATGGCTCCATTAGTAGCAATAGCACTGAGGGAAATGCCAGTTAAGAATGTGCACAGGCAGCACAAACATACTAATAGAAGGCTGCTCCAGATACCTGCTATACCAACAATCCTGTACAGCATCCGTATCATTGACAGAACGACAGAAGTAGTCTTCGAACTTGAATCCACACATTTATCTAATAATGAGAAAAGTACCGAAAAATCTAACTCACCATGTGAACCGAATATAAAAAATAATGCCCAGAATGTTCTGGAGACATGGTACAAAAACTCCCATCAGGGTACCCATTTTCCCAATTTGTGCCTGCCACAACACAAAAGGGTCGTCAGCTTGCAGAAGTGTGAAGATGAGTCTTAAGCATTCTTCTTTGAAAAGATAAACGAGCCGCAGTTGCAGGGAATAAACCATAAACTTGTCACACCGTATGTTAGCGAGAAAGAGGATGCTCAGAACTTATGAATAGCTAGCTAGACCAAAGACTCAGGTATTGCTCACCGTGATATATGCTACATCCAATTAGCTGAAACTTCAGTGGCAAATAAAACATCGACCACGGAAAAACGTCCGTGAAGGTTTTCGGAGATTCTCTGTACTGAGCTGTTATTAAGAATTGAATAAGAAACTGTGTTAGCTCCCCGAACATACCTCGAAAAATAAAGAAATATAGCCTGGATTTTCTCCAGGGCGATCAACGTCGATGGAGTATTCATCCACATCTCTTGGGCTTTGTGGCAAGCCAGGCTGCTGGCCTCCCATACTGCGACACGAAAGCAACAACTCTTGGTCAGGAAGTGCATTAAACTTAAGGCCTCGCATAATTAAAACTGGACCGAGAATATCTTGATATCAGATTGCGGAAATGAGAACCTTTTGAGTCCTTTGACATCCACAAGTGGATCAATTTGGTACAGCTCCAGCTTTGTTTCGCGTTCAGTCTGCTCGAAGATCGCCGTGTCTTGTTCGCCATTTTCCTGTTGCTGGAGCTTCTCTGATACCCTCGTATTCACGGACTTCAACTCCCTGCTCAACATCGAAATGGAAATGTAAGCTGCTTAATTTTCACATGAGGATTGCCAAACGTCAAGAATTTCAAGAATCCTAAGAAAACTACTGTAGGGATTGTTTCTGGAAGAATACGCTACCCACCGTTGCACAAATGGAGGAGAAGGTTGCCGTGCAGGAGGAGAATGTGGGGGCGATGAAAGATCCATAGCAGTCATCTCTTGCGCCACAACTGAGAGTGCGGCTGGCTCTCCATTCCGTGTGCCATTCTCCATCTCTCCTTTTCTCACTTCTGTTACTACAAGCCCATTACTACACTCATCTACAAATCAAATCTTCACTACTCTTCTTTCGTTCAAACTTGAAGTCTCAAATCGTTAGTCAACTTTGAGTATTAATTCGATGACACGATCACCAACTGCCACTCATCTTCAACAATTTCCAAAATATCAGGACAAATTTCTTGCGATCCCAGAAACAATACCAAAATCGAGAAAACAATATAAGCAGCTCTGTCGCTACTACTAATCTTTCGTGACAATCCGTCCACTTCCAACCCACACTTCAGATCCAAATCACACGGATCACGACTGGCGACCTCGACCAAGTCCAATGAACAACCGACGTGACTCCAATGCCAACTAACTCCGTCTCACTAGAGCTCCAAGCAGCTGATAAGCACTTAGATCCACAAATCCAAAAGAAGCTCCAAAATCTCTACAATCAATAGGAAACGAAGACAACCAGAAGTGGAGAGCGCAGGTGTGGGATGTGACGTGATGATTGAACTCAGATCTGGGACGAAGATTGAGGAAGCCGTGTGGGGAAGTCAGGAAGTGATGAGTGGGCGATGGAGAAAGTCTCGGAGCAGCAAGGATGGAGAGGGAGATATCCCGATTATCATCAATAAACCCACATCAGTAAACTCTCCAACTTCCACTCTCAGTGACAGGGTTGAAGATCTCTCAAGATGCAGGAATTGCTACCTTAGTTTTAAATAATAAATAAATAAATAACCAACCTGTGTCTTGTGGCATTGCCATATGGTTTGCTCAAACTTCCACAGTTGCTAGTTTGAACGCAGGCACCATTACTGGGGCCACCAACCATCCATTTTCCATTTTCGGCACCTGTCGAGTTTTCGGCAGTGATCTAACAATTTATGCTGGATTTACCCAGGATAACTTAATCTGAAAAGTCCAGTAAAAGGTAAGCTGAATAAAATGTAAGGAACGTTATGTTGGAAACAAAGTGGTTCGTGACAAAAGGTGTCAATTTGTTTTCACGCATAATTGTTTCCTAGAAGTTTCGAGGACATGGTTGGATTCTTGATCGCTTGGAGGATTGACGTGACCATCCTATGGTATTCAACGTCTTAGCTGGATGTATTTAGTCAATGTTGGCCGGTAGAGGAGCCAGCTTTGGCAAAACGACACGTTTGCGACCGCCTGTGCATGGACTAATGCAACATAATTTCAAAGTCTGCATTTGAAGACACTAAGAATGAACATCCAAAGATGTAAACAGTGTCTCCAGCTCTCTCTGGATGGACAGTGTCTCTGACTGCAATGGCGTCCCATTCACATTGAATATCAATCAATAACGACGTACCACGAACTTCAAAAATCGAACACAGTCGAAGCAATCACGTTCCTTCTCCGTCCACGATGAGAAGGTGAAACAAGCGCATCCAAGAATTTGATGAAATGAAAGACAGCTCCCTAAGTCCCTAAAAGTCTGCCAGGACACGTCTCGCCATCATGAAAGGTCACTATGGGAGAATTTTCTCACATCTGAGCTCGACATATTATCATTGCCACTCAAAAGAACGCTAAGCTAACTCATGCAATCGATCAAACGATTTTTACTCACTTTTCATTCATGACTGCAAAAAATGAGATCCATCTAAAATCTTAATAATGCACTCATTGCACAAATTAAATCGTTCCAAATCATATAGGTACATGACCCCAAAGGAAGGCCCACTTCGTCAAAGATAATTATCTTAAAAGCTAAAAACATATCTTTAGCCAGATCGTGAGCTAGAAATATCACTGCGTCCAATCGAACAATCTAATCACATCCTAACTTGACAGTGAAGGCTTCAATCTCAGATATCTAGGAATGGTAAGTTGATTTCGGAGTACTTTCAGAAGCTTCCATAAACAAATCTTTCTCTCGTGCTCTCTCAGAATCTTCGTCAATTTTTGCAAAAACATATACGTTTTTTTCGACGTGCACAGTTTCGGTATTACCTTCCAGGCTCCACGATTGGTCCTAACCATTGCTATCAACGCTTGCGGAATCTTTGTCAGTGGACTCTATCGTAACATTGTTGTAAACTTCACAACAATGTTGCGTCGAATGGCAGATCAACAAACCGAGACTAGCTAGAGGAAAGACGGAATCACAGGACAAGTCATTGCGGAATATGGTAAGGTGCAATACCTTCAGTAGATGTGCTGCTCTTAGACAGTGCATTTGGGATTAGGCGAACCTTCCGGTTAGAGAAGCATTAAAAACTACAAAAGTACAAGCCTCCACCAAAAAACAAATGCGATCCGAAACAAGATTTGTAAATACCTAGTCTAGAAATGCGACTGTTTAGGGTTGGAGATCTGTAGTTTGATAGCGTTAAATGCAAGTTTTGGACACCTCTTGGAGTTATACACAAAATTCCTGTGCAAAGAGTAGCCATCGAACACCGCCCATGCTCACGTCGATGCGGCCAGGATTCGCACCCATCTTCAAAAAATCAGGTGAAAAAGTTAATCTCACGACATTCGACAACCACAACAGACAAAACAAGTGCCCAACTAAGAACTACATCAAGTTGGTAACTGCCAATCGCGCGTCGACATCGCACAAATGCACTAGAGTTGATTCGATCACAGCACCTTGTTGTTGTGTTGATAGGAGATATTCCATGAACGAGATCTGGACCGTGCGGAGTAAAGAAATGTGGTATAACAACAAAATAGCGAAGGGGAAGGACATGCATGACATCATCATCATCTTCGCAACTGAGCAAACCGTGTCACCACGCCATGTATTCAAAACAGAGGCCACGCTGGGACACGGCGCAGCACACTCACTCCTCACTCAGCCTCCCTCGCCAGGCTCCCCCCCCACTCGTAGAATTGTGTCGCTGAAACCTCCCAACTCAATCGACTAGCTCCGCCATCGTGGGCCGTCGGATCGTATGCCGCTTAGATCCAATCTCAACCGCCGATCGGATTTCCGGGAAAGGAGGGAGGGAAAGTAAGGGAACCAGGGAGGTGGGCAGGTTGGGAACTCAGAACCCATTCCTCATTGGGCCCGCACTGATCCATATTCTATCCCCTCATTCGGCCCACACTGATTCACATTCACATGGATGCTGAAGTTTGTTCATGGGCTGCCTCTCAATCCCAATTTTCAACCATCACTCTTGATTCAAAGAATATTTTTTTTGTTGTCATACACAACAACAGCACTCAATGTACATGATCCTATTGTTTCCAGGAAGAATTTTTGCAACTCAAAAACTTTACTCATTAATTTTTTCTCAAAAACAGATATTTTACAAACAAGGATTCATTCATTGATTATTTTCTTTGTCCTTATAAAAATTAGCCAATTTATATTTTTTCAAATTTATTTATATTTCTTTGTACATGAAATAAAATATAAATTGGCTAATTTTTATTTTATTTCATTTCATTTTTATAATAAATATATAATTTACATATATCCTATTGAGAAGAATGTAATATTTTATTGTTATATTTTATAAAAAATTTAAGAAAAATCATTTAATTAAGTTTCTCTTTGAGATATTATAAGATTTTTTTAATTATTATATATGTCATAAAAACATTTCTACAAGAATCATGTATAAATACCATATGGGAAATATCACTAAATCAAATAAAATTCTTATGTGAAGTGCCAAATTTTGCACCCAGACTCTTAATAAAAATCTAAATCTATAAAGAATAATTTTACATCTAGTCAACATTACATCCTTCTATATCTAGTGCAATAATATTATTTACTTTTAAAATTATATATTGGAAATAAATATATAAATTAATTAATATGGTTAATATCGCATTATATTGTTACTTAAAATCAATATTTAACTTACAGATTGCAACTTCTATTATTAAATTCCTACATTAGTCAATGATAGTGTTTTAAATTAAAATTTAGTAATTATAGGCCTCATGATTAAGTTGCTCCAATGATAATTATTTCCAACTTATTTTCCATCTACTTTTCACCATCCATTTGTTTTGGTAGTGAAAAGTATTCACCAATCATGTCTATTTTATTTTATTCTTAGCTATTTTTTATATTTATTTTTAATTGCCAATTTCTCCTTAGTGACAAAAATAGTCAATATTCATATCTATTTGTAATTTTTTCCACGTATTTTTCACCAATAATTTTTCTTTGATGATAAAAATAGTCACCATCCATACTTATTTGTAATTTTGTCTATCTATTTTTACTACCAATTTTTCTTTAATAGTAAAAAAATAGTCACTATCTATGTTTATTTGAAATTTTTTCTACTTATTTTTTCCAATTATTTTTTTCAATTTTTTTTACCAATTTTTTCTTATTATTTTTATTATTTTTTAAAAAATTAAAATAATATAATAAAAAATTCTTAAAAAATTTATAAAGTTATTATAAAAATATTGGTGGTAAATTAGATAGAAAATTATGTAATATAAAGATTTTTCATTACCTATTTCTATTAGAAGAAATAGAGTGACAACATGAATAAATATCTAGTTAAAGAAGAATTAATCAAATGATGACAACAATTTCAAATTTTATTAAAACTTATTTATCACAACTAAAACTTATGCAGATTCATAAGATAAGTTATAAACTTCTCATTGAATTAAAAAAAGACTTGACATTGTCAAAAATAATTGTACTTATATTGTGGAGAAACTAAGTATATTTTTCAACATTGTCTAAAGAAAAAATTCAATCAAAAAATGAAGAACATAATTGTTAATAAAAATAATATATTAAAAAATAAATTTATCTAGCTATAATAAAAATTGTGTAGTCATACTCTTATGTAATATCTAATAAAGGTCATACTCTCTTCTTAAAATCTTCACCTTGTTTTAAAATAAACATCTTTTTAGGGCCTAAAAATCACAAAGTCTTTGTCTTGCTAGATTTTTTAGTCTCAACTTTTTTTTAGATGGCAACTTTGCTAAAAGACATAATATATCTTTAGTAAAGATAACAAAGTCCATACATGTAGAAATTATAGATGGTCATTCTTTATATTTTGGAGATAATAGCCATGAAATATTCCTATAAATGTTGCAATATATGGTCATAATAGCTTATTAATACTTTATATTATCAAATATTTTTATTTAATCTAATTATTTTAAGTTTATTTTAGCTAAAAAAATATAATCTTCAAATAGATTAGATCATTTATAATCATAATTTTTTCCATAATATAACCAAGATTTTTATTAATTAAATAAAAATTCATATGTCTAATATATTCAAATCTTTACTTGTAGGTACAAGAGTTTACATGCATGCTACAAAAGAAAGGTCATTCTTTGTTATTTATACTAGATCTATTTTTAATTAAAAATATTTTAAATGGCATTCTAAGATAATATTAAGATTATCAAGATGTTTATATATATATATATATATATATATATACATACTTTGTTAACATCCTTCCTATAATTACTCAATTGATTTTCAAGAAAAAACTTAATTGCCTTTTTGACCAATCTATAGCTTATCACTACATGATTTAGCTTCATAAAAACAATATATTGATACGAACTTGGCCAAAATCTTCATATATTATTTAAAATATTTCAAAGAGAACCTATTTCATTTGTAAAGAAACTTAATAAGTTCCAATATATACTTTTTGTCTAATCTACTTGATATTTCGTTTTATAAAGAAACACAATAAAACATGAAGTTTATGCTTTGAAAACATAAATTTATGCTTCATGTTTTGTTGTGTTTTCTAAAAACTTTGAAATATAGTACTATATATTAAGGTAGATAAGTAATTATTTTATATAACTACTTCTTTAGCATATATTATTTTAAATGATTGTTTTATGATAGATCTTAAAAATAATTTAGACTATCATGGAAAAAAAGATTTTGAAAATAATAACAATCATCTAATATTTTTTAAAATTTGTTAATTATTATTGAATTTTTATAAAATATTTTTTCCAAATTATTGTTCTACTTACATTTTTAACTTATAAGACAAACTTAAGTGGTATAAAGAAGCCAAAGTAATATTTAAAGCTTCAAAGATAACTTCTTATACAACACAAATCTTATATAATATTGATTTTTTGAATGAATTTTTATAGAAATAAATGCAATATACTTTAGCTTAAGTGCAATGTTATTACAAATGGAAATTGATGACAATCTTTATCTTGTAATTTTTTACTTAAGAATATTTTTGATAGATGTAATTAGTTCTAAGATCCACAACAAAGAACTTTTTGTAATTGTGGATTCATTTCAAGAATGGTACTACTACTTAGAAGGCATTAATAGTCTACTAACTAATTATATAAATCACAAGAATATTAAGTATTTTATACTTTATATTAAATTAAAATTGAGCTTATTAGAATATATTTTTATCAAAATTCGTATTCAATATTATAAATTGGCCAAAAATCAATAATATTTATTAAATAATTTTTTGAAATATTTTTATCTTGTTGTTATGGATATCTAACTAAAAGATTTTAAGAATATTTTAAAATATTCTATTGAATTCTAGAATTCTCTAAAGATTTTAAAAATATTTTAATAAATAATTTTAAAATATTTTTAGAAAATCCTAAAAGATTTTTAAAATATTCCAACGAATTTTAGAAAATTTTAAAAAGATTAAAGAAGTTGTCTGAGAAGCTTTTTAAGATTGCTTTATCTTCAAGCAATATAAAAACTTCTCAAGAAATTTTGTAGAGTTGATTTGTCTTCAAATAATATGAGAATTTTTTAAGAAACTTCCTAATACCTAATATATATTGGAATTGAAACTCAGAAGATCTTCAATATTGACAACACATCTCTTGAAGCTCTATCTCATTTTTCTTAGTATTGATCTTCTACACATCTAGTTTATTCAAGTTCATGCTAATTTTTTTGTTGAGAATCTTTTGTTCAAATTCTTATTTGGTATTTTATATAATATATTTGTACTAATTTGTCAAGATTGTCCTCTTATCAATACTAAAGTTTAATCTTTCTTAATAAACAATACGCTATTCTTCTTCTTGAAGGCATTTAAGCACTTTAAAAGTTGAAAAGTATCATCTTTTAAATTGATATTATTTAAAAACTTTCTTTTATTCTTTTAAGATAGTTGGAGGTGAAGATATTAGTATAATTGAATCTTTTGAGTCCAAATTAGATGTTATTTAAAATACATTGAATAATTTATCTTGTAGAATTATTGAAATTGAGAGATTTTTGTAAGATTTTATGGTGATGCAAGACCTGAAGCAATTCAATCTATAATGCAATTACTTTTTAAGCTTCTACATCCAAAGAAATAGTGGCATTTGTACCTCAATTAAATAAAATTACTTATTCAACAACATAAAGAGCCTTGGATTAATCTTTCAAAATTTTTTGATGGTACATACTCTAAGTTTTGATGATTTGTTAATCAATTCAATTTATAACTTTTCTACAACTTAAGTACTATTCAATAGAAAAGATGCAAGTTGGTTTAGTTGAAACCTTACTCATAAGAAATGCCTTATCTTTGTTTGTTCCTTTATTTGAAAAGAGATCCCCAATCTTAAAAAAAAAAAAGAAAAAAAAGAAAAAAATCTTAGATAAGTTTATTATTTTCTATCTTGATGATATCTTAATCTACTCCAAGACTCTTGAAAAACATGAAGAACAAGTGAGATTAGTCTTGCAAAAGATACAAGATATAAGATTATATGCCAAATTAGAATAACGTATATTCTATCAACTAAAAGTAGAGTTTTATAGATATATTATATTCAATAAAGGCTTATTAATGGACTCGAAGAAAGTTCAAGCTATAATGGAGTGGATAATTCTAAAGACAATATGAAATGTATAATATTTTTTTGAATTTAT